ACCCGGACACCGCAAGGCAAATGAGGCTGCGAAGGCGGCAAGAACTAGAGCCAGCCCAACCCAACTCGACAGCATCGGAGTGATAGCTGCAGCAGCGCCGCTGGCGCAAGCTCGTCCACAAGCGGAATAGTCACACGGTTCGCACACAAAGGCCTGCTTCGCACCCTTTGAAAGCGGGGCGAACTACTGCACATCCACCGCTATCTGACCAACATCACGCTTGCGCGTGAACAACACCTGGGTCACCTTGCGATCGCGAACTGGACTCTGCCTCTGTCCCCTGTCACTGCGTGTCGGGCCCTTCCTACGGACACCTCGGGCCAACAGGCCAAACAGCAGCGCCCACCGAGCTGACAGCTGACATGGGAACCGCAAGGGGATATGTCCTCACTCATCCAGCAAAACAGCCTTCATGTCGAGTATTGGCCATTGATTCCACGCAGCGACAAAGGATGTGCTTGATGCCGCTTCGATAGGGGCTGCAAGAGTTGGACCGTGCCACTCAACGGAGCAGCAAGCGCCAGAACAGGACAGCACTCGATCCCCTCAGGAGAGGTCAAGGCTGTCACAGGGCCCAGCAGATTCTCACACTTGACATACGAAGGGCCTGCCAGACGCGCCCAAAGGGGTTGAAGCCACAAGCTTCTTCTTGCAGGGCTGAGGGATACTCCGGGCACAAGCCACATGGAGGTGTGACCGTGCTGGATGCAAGATGTGTGAACTGCGGCAGGTTAGCCGCAGATGCCATCGTAGCAGCTGACTTGGCAAGCCTGTCGCGCGCATGCTGCCCGGACACCGCAAGGCAAATGAGGCTGCGAAGGCGACAAGAACTAGAGCCAGCCCAACCCAACTCGACAGCATCGGAGTCGTTGCTCCAGCGGCAGCGCTGGCGCAAGCTCGTCCGCAAGCTTGGTAGTCAAAAGGTTCGCACACAAACGCCTGCTTCGCATACTTACAATTGCAGCACCTCTGCCTTGCGCATGAACAACACCTGGGTCATCCTGCGGCGACTGCGAACTGGACTCTGGTCATTGCTGAACCGTTCTGACGGACACACAAGAACTGCCGCGCTTTGGACACGATTTTGTGCGCAAACGGCAGCTTTGGCTGACTAGCGGCGCCGCTTGCAGAAATGGCGTCGTTTGCGCAGCAATGCCCACGATTTCTCGACAAATTCGCATGCCTTTCTCGACAACGCGCACATTCGAAACACAAAAGGCGTTGACGGTGTCGTTGGTAGAAACGACGTGCAAAGGACACCTTTGGAGCCTTACGGTGTGGCAGACCGATACTCATGGCGTGGGGAAACTGGACTGTGCTGGGTGCAAGATGTGCGGAATGTGGCGGCCAGGCGCAGGTGGCACAGCAGCAGCAGACTTGGTACGACTTGGGTGCAAAGGCTGCCGGACACCGCAAAGGCCTTGGCGCCCTAAGGCTAGTGAGGCCGCGAAGGCGGCCAGAACAAGAGGCACCCCAGTCCAGTGCGACAACATCGGAATTCTAGCTGCTCCAGCAGCGTCACTGTATGCAAGCCGATCCGCAGGATTTGTAGTCAACCCTAACTTAAAACATCTGACACCTCTGTGCGCCTGGAGAAACTCTACAGGATCGCTGCTTCCGGACTACAATTGGACCGGCCCCCCTCATTCGCTCTAGACTTGTGTGCCATGTGCCTACCGGCCTACAACTTGGCACTGTGTATCAAGATCGGAAAATACCTGTGCATCCACCGCTATCTGGCCCACATTTGCCTTGGGTCACCTTGCGCTTGGGAACTGGCAGCGCTCACCAAGCTGACAGCTGGCATGGGAATCCGCAGGGGGATATGTCCTCACTCATCCAGCAAAACAGCCTTCATGTCGAGTATTGGCTCAATTGATTCCACGCAGCGACAAAGGATGTGCTTGATGCCGCTTCGATAGGGGTTGCAAGAGTTGGGCCGTGCCACTCAACGGAGCAGCAAGCGCCAGAACAGGACAGCACTCGATCCCCTCAGGAGAGGTCAAGGCTGTCACAGGGCCCAGCAGATTCTCACACTTGACATACGAAGGGCCTGCCAGACGCGCCCAAAGGGGTTGAAGCCACAAGCTTCTTCTTGCAGGGCTGAGGGATACTCCGGGCACAAGCCACATGGAGGTGTGACCGTGCTGGATGCAAGATGTGTGAACTGCAGCAGGTTAGCCGCAGATGCCATCGTAGCAGCTGACTTGACAAGCCTGTCGCACACATGCTACCCGGACACCGCAAGGCTAATGAGGCTGCGAAGGCGGCAAGAACTAGAGCCAGCCCAACCCAACTCGACAGCATCGGAGTGATAGCTGCAGCAGCGCCGCTGGCGCAAGCTCGTCCACAAGCGGAATAGTCACACGGTTCGCACACAAAGGCCTGCTTCGCACCCTTTGAAAGCGGGGCGAACTACTGCACATCCACCGCTATCTGACCAACAGCACGCTTGCGCGTGAACAACACCTGGGTCACCTTGCGATCGCGAACTGGACTCTGCCTCGGTCCCCTGTCACTGCGTGTCGGGCCCTTCCTGCGGACACCTCGGGCCAACAGGCCAAACAGCAGCGCCCACCGAGCTGACAGCTGACATGGGCCTCGGCAAGGAAATATGTCCTCACTCATCCAGCACAACAGCCTTCATGTCGAGTATTGGCCATTGATTCCACACAGCGACAAAGGATGTGCTTGATGCCGCTTCGACAGGGGCTGCAAGAGTTGGACCGTGCCACTCAACGGAGCAGCAAGCGCCAGAACAGGACAGCACTCGATCCCCTCAAGAGAGGTCAAGGCTGTCACAGGGCCCAGCAGATTCTCACACTTGACATACGAAGGGCCTGCCAGACGCGCCCAAAGGGGTTGAAGCCACAAGCTTCTTCTTGCAGGGCTGAGGGATACTCCGGGCACAAGCCACATGGAGGTGTGACCGTGCTGGATGCAAGATGTGTGAACTGCGGCAGGTTAGCCGCAGATGCCATCGTAGCAGCTGACTTGGCAAGCCTGTCGCGCGCATGCTGCCCGGACACCGCAAGGCAAATGAGGCTGCGAAGGCGACAAGAACTAGAGCCAGCCCAACCCAACTTGACAGCATCGGAGTCGTTGCTCCAGCGGCAGCGCTGGCGCAAGCTCGTCCGCAAGCTTGGTAGTCAAAAGGTTCGCACACAAACGCCTGCTTCGCACACTTACAATTGCAGCACCTCTGCCTTGCGCATGAACAACACCTGGGTCACCTTGTGATTGCGAACTGGACTCTGCCTCTGTCCACTGTCACTGCGCATCGAGCCTGTAGGATATGGACACCTCAGGCCAACAGGCCAAACAGCAGCGCTCACCGAGCTGACAGCCGACATGGGCCTCCGGAGGGGATATGTATTCAACTCATCCAGCAAAACAGCTTTATCATATGTCTTCACTCATCCAAAACAACAGCTTACTGAGTCGGAGTTGTTGCTGTGTTTTTTCGCTTCCGGATTCCACCCTCGGCAGAGATGCCAACTTCAGCATAGGGTAATAGTCGAGTTGGAGATTTTTGGCTTTCGTGTTCCATTCTGGGCAGGCTTGCGCAGTACTTCAGCATTGAAAAACCTGCATAGGCCTTGGGAGACTTGACAGATGCTGAAGACTCAAAAGCAGGACCGGACCATGGTCTTGAGACGAGTTTCCCCCAACCTGGACGACCTAAAGCGACCCGCAGTCGACTTGTTTGCGTGCAGCAGGTGTGGACTGCCCGCCAGGCTGCGATCCGACCAGCCTCTCAGGCAACCTCTGAGCAGGTCATCCCCAGCGTGTTAGGACTAGGGGGGATGGAAATGGAGCTGCCAACGCATGACATCCCTGGGAGCTGCCATGGCTACGAGACTCCGCAACTCCGGGGTCTCACATGGTTCCCCAACAGGACACACACGCGAGGAAGGAAAATGGATTTTCATGCGTCGAGGGTCCTGCCAGCCATTGAACATGAGCCTGCCAACCAGCCAAACCCAAAAATGGAGATGGGCATTGGCACATCAGGACCCGAGACCCTGCCTCCCTCCATTTACAAAAGTGGGGGATAGCAGATCACGTGCAGGCAGATGGAACTATGGCAGGATGGAGTGCTGACCGGTGGACTTGGGCCTCCAAGAGCTTGTCATCAGGACTCCCCTGCATCATGGGGCATCCGGGAACTCTTTGGCTCTGTGGGTTTTTTGAATTTTTTGCTGGGGGCTCCAGAGCCCGCAGGTTTCAGAAGCCGGTTAGCGACGTGAGCCACACCGAATGCACCAAATGCACCCACCCAATCCGCCAAAACCCTACAAACCCTACACGAGAGCCCTCCGAACACCGACCTGAAGTCCTGGGCCACGCTGCGCAGGAACACGGACGCCGAGGGCTCCCAGCTGCTCGCAGCTTTTTTTTTCACATGGCACGTTGCCGGTTTCCACTCACAAACTCAGAGAGGATTCAGAGGTCACGGAGTCACCGAGCTCGTCTGTGATTTTCGAGCTCGCGGGGCTGTGGCGGCTGTGGATTCTGAGGGTTCGAGGGATCGGAGATGTTCGGAGGAGGCAGCGGGTCCCTGGCTCTGGCCGACCGCGCTTGCAAAGGAGGCTCAGGCCTCACTCGGGGTAAGGCCGGTCTTGCCTGCCGGAATGAAGTGGATCCTGCAGCAACTCCAAAAACTCAAAAAGGAGAAATTGTTGCATTTCAAGATTGCCTTTGCTGTCAAAGTTTTGGCACCCGCCGGCTCCGCCTGCATCACGGTCCGTCTGGGAGGTCCATCGGTCCGACACGTCCACACGGTCGGCTTCGCCGGCCGAGGCACCAGGAGACCACCCACACGTGGCGGGGATGTAGATGATGTAACTGTAGCGACAGGAGCAGCTGCGCCAGCCGGCATCCAGGGCGATGACTGCGAGATACCGTGACTTTCCAGGCGGAAAGCTCTCGCTGCTGGGCTGTCGCTACAGCGCAGAGCCCTCTAAGATTCTGAGACGGCAAAGGATGCAAAGGTGAGCATGGGCCGCAAAGCGGGCATGCCAACCACCAGGCCACCGTCTGTGGGCGATGTAGGCACCCTCAGCACACGCCCGGGCACCAACAATGCCTCCCTGCGCATCAGGGATGCGCTGGAGCCTCTAAGGGCCTGCAAGGAGGAGCCCTGCTGCAGGCTGGGATGGATCGAGCGCCGTGCAGGTGCGGATGCAGTGGCCAAGCCCACAGGCGCGACTTGGCATCGAGTCTTGAGGAGCCTGCCTACAGGAGATGCTCGGATGCTCGGGGCCTCGGCGCTTCCCTGCGTCTCGCGCAAGGGCCGGAACTTGCCGAAGAGGCTCAGACCCGGGTCTTTGTCATCTTTTGGATGCTTTTGGACGGTGCGAGCTCGAGGGAAAGCAAAGGCACGGCTCTCCGAGTCCGGCGAGTCCTAGTCTACTTTAACCACCCGCACCGGGCCCCGGATTCAACCCCCTTTGCCTGGACACCCGCGCAAAGCTCAGCCGAGCGCAGCAAGCAGAAGTCGCAGCTAGTGCGCCCGGGCCAGCAAGCGGAGTCCCTGCACAAGGAATGCACACCGCAACTTCAAAGCAGCACGTATACCGCTACGCCACGGAAGGCCCGTCCAATGCTGCTTCAGGAGGCCATTCTGAGTAGCGAACTCCTGCACGAAACGCCTTGAAGACTTGACTCCTACGAGCCTCTTGTTGCAGAGCCGGCCGCCAACACAGGCATCGGGAGAGCAGAGCCTCTTCAGCCCCACAGCCGCCAAAAGCCGCGGAAGACACTGAACCTTGACAGTTCCTGACCCACCAGCTGGCAGCTCTTGTTACGACTTCTCCTTGTTCTAGGTCCCTAGGCGACAAACCTGATATAAGTTTCATGAAGCTGTTCACAATCTCCACAATCTGGAGCTTTCACTTGATCAGGCCTTGACGCGAGCGACCGGGCCGGACCAAGGTGTGCAGCGACAGATGTCGAAGGCAACCCCGTAGCTTGCAGCCAACTGGAAGCAGGTATGCCGCTACGCTTCAGGAGGCCAAGCTTCTGGGCGGCAGACTCACGCACCAACCGGCATGCCCGCACAAGGAAGCCTCAGAGGGCCAAACAGCTGCCAGCAAAGGACTGCTGCGAGCCTCTCGTTGCAGAGCTGGCCGCCAGCGCAGGACAGCAGGAGGCAGGGGGCTCCATATCCTCCAAAAGCCGCGGAAGACTCCCTGACCCAGCAGCTGGCAGCTCTTGTTACGACTTCTCCTTGCTCTAGGTCCCTAGGCGACAAACCTGATATAAGTTTCATGAAGCTGTTCACAATCCCCACAATCTGGAGCTTTCACTTGATCAGGCCTTGAGCGACCGGGCCGGACCAAGGTGTGCAGCGACAGATGTCGAAGGCAACCCCGCAGCTTGCAGCCAACTGGAAGAAGGTATGCCGCTATGCCCACCATGCTTCAGGAGGCCACACACCAACCGCACAATGAAGCCTCAGAGGGCCAAACAGCTGCCGGCACAGGACTGCTGCGAGCCTCTCGTTGCAGAGCCGGCCGCCAGCACAGGCATCGGGACAGCAGGAGGCAGGGGGCTCCATAGCCTCCAAAAACCGCGGAAGACACTGAGCCTGGACCGTCCCTGACCCAGCAGCTGGCAGCTCTTGCTACGACTTCTAAGTGCCAAGGCTGAAGTAAGGTTCAGCAAACATTGCAGCACGCCCATAGTCTGGAGCTTTCACTTGATCAGGCCTGGCGAGATCGCGACTGGAGGTTGTAGAGGACCCCGGACTCGTGCATCACGGAGCCCCAAGCACACAGTCATGCGGGAGCGAGGCTCTGATGATGAGATTCCGGAGGCGCTGAAAGCGTCAGGGCTCGAAAGCTTCGCTTTGCGCAATGCGGATTCATGCGGAGCGAGCCGACGGCAGACGGATGTTGGGGGGCTTTCGTGGATCCCACACAGGCAGCATGCTCGCCATCGTCGAGCTCAACAATCATGCCCGGCGACCTCCGGACGATCTCATCTTAAAGTCTTGCCTTGAATCGGTGGTGCAGCGAGGCTCTGCGTTCTCCTGGGCGGTCGCAACCAAGTTGGCGCGGTTGCGCGGGCTCTTGAAAGGGCGCTGCGCACATTGCCTTTGCGAATGCAGGGGCTGCAGGGGCATGCTGATCATGCTGTCGCCGCTTGGGTAAGCATGCGAGCTGCCAGCTCACGCTGAGTGGGACACTGCTAGGTGGTTACACTAAGCGGAGCTGTCCTTTTGGCGGCTCTTCTGCATGATGGGCGTTGAAGCGAGGCACTGGACGAAAACGTCTCAAGATGACCGTCTTGCTAGCGTGAAGCAGCGTGCCCTGATCTGAAAGCCGTTCAAAAAGGTCACTCCTTCCCAATGGCGGGGCACAGGCATCTGGCCGCGGCCACAAGAAGAGCCCGGCTTCACAATTCGGGCAGGCTTGCCATTCCATCGCCCGTCTCGTGCGCTCGCCATAGAGGTACAAGGGCAAGGCAAAGCTTGCCTGTTCAACTGCAAGGCCGTGACAAACCTGATATAAGGTTCGTGAAACAGGCCTTTGAAGACCCCGACTGGAGGAAGTAGAGCCCCGGACTCGGACGTCATGCGATGGTGAGGCTCTGGTACGGCGCTCGCACTGCGGCGAGGGCGGAGAACTCGGAGAGTCGAAGACGCCGAAAGCGTCAGGGCTCGAAAGCTTCGCCTGTCTTTGCCCGGCACAAGGCGTGGTTCATGCGGACTTCAGATGTTTGAGCCGACGACCGACGGATGTTCAGGGCCTTTGTGGATTCCACATAGGCAGCTTGCTCGCCATCGTCGAGCCCAACGATCATGCCTCTGGCTTCCGGCTGGGAAGTGGCACGTTCTCACTAAACTTGCCAGAAGCCAGGAGAAGTGTGCACCTCAAGCCATGGGTGAGGGGAGAGGCCCGAGGGCCTGAATTCCGCACGCAGCCTACATGCGCGAACATCCACGTGCTCCCTTGCTGCTGTGCTACTTCAATCCAATTTTCCGGCGATGCACTGGATGCAACCGTTTCGCTAGTCTGAGAAAAGGCGTGCCGTGATCCGAAATCTGTCTCTTGTGAAACTGCTTCCCAACACGGTTGCGCACACGAATCTGGCCAGCCGCCGTCAGGCCACAGCTTAAGAGCTCGGCTTCTCAATCGGGCCGTCATGCAGTAGCATCGCTCGACTTAGGCGCTCACTGTTGGTGTAACAGGGCAATACTTGCCCGGTCAGTGGGCAAGGGACGGCCTACAGTCCCAGACGAGGGCAAGCGGCTCTCTATCGGCTCACACGTGCTGAACACGCAGATACGCTCCCAATTGAAGCAGTGTACGCCTATCTTCTTTGGATGAACTGCTGCACGAAACTTGCGGCACGCAAGGCACGATTGACTGCAGGTACACCAGGCACAACAGGCACACCTCAGCATCAGCCGATTTAGATGGCAATGACTAGACTCAGTCAAAATATGAAACTTCCTGAGCCTCGGACGGGCCCCAGCCATGGCGAGAGGGCAAGGGGTTCTTGACGTGGCCATGTCAGCCGGCGAATACCGTCTCTTGATATCTCTTGATATCGCAATCTGCAAAACTTCTGCAATCTCGCCAAGACCTTGTGCACTTACTTGAACGCTCATGCTCAGCAGGCTGTGTCCTGAAGCTTTGCAGGTGTCTTCAAAGGACTTGAGCCATGAAGAACACCACAGTTGGATGCACCGTCTAGTCCTCTGGTTTGGAAAGCTGCAGGTACGACATGCTATGGCTGTAGGTCATCAGGTAGCAAGCCCCCCCCCCCCCCCCCCCCCCCCCCGGCTCTCTCCAGCAGCTATGTAGTCGATGGCCTGTGCATGAAACTTCGCAACCCCCTGGCCCTGAAACTCAAGCCTTTGTCGCCGAAACACTCAGGATCAGACGACTCAGACGTTTGACCCGTTAGACTCTATATATTGACTCCCAAGCCTAACCGCACATTGAATCACATCGGATCAGCTTGCCGAGGATACTAAAAGACTGCATTATCAAGAAAGGTGCAGGGGGCCAACAACAGTCAGACTTAACAAGTTTCTTTGCATTGCGTCATGCAGAAAGCACATCTGTCAGTTGCGACATGGCTTTCAGAGAAGTCCTCACAAAGCTTGCACCCCTCTTGAGGAGCTCGAAGGCTGAAGCAAAAGTGCATCCAAACAGACAAAGACAAAGAGCCGATTCGTATATATCAACTGCTTAAAGGGAGTTGTCGACTTTGTGCGATGCTGTCCAGTGCGAGGCTGCTAGGACCCTATAGGACGTACGTGGCATGGACCTTTAGGTCTAATGTGAGGTTTCGCCTTTTTTCCTAATAAAACTCAGTAAATAACCGACGGATTTCCTCTCTCCCTCTTTTTTTTTTGTCCGGATTTTTTCTCCCCCTCTCTTCTCTTTCCCCTGACACTGAGAGGTTCCCTTCTCGACGGATTTGTACTGCATTTGATAATAAGAATATTCTATGTTTTGAAAGAAGCGGGAAGGCCTCCTCCTTCCGAAATGAGACAGCTTATTTTTTCGTATTACCAACACGGATCTCCGTATCCGCCGACCCCAGCCGGAGCGGGGGCGGCGTCAGTGAAGACCCATCGTTGTCTGCTTCCTCGCCCAGTGCCTCGCTGCCCTTGCTGTCTGCTTCCTCGCCCAGTGACTCGCTGCCCTTGCTGCCTTCGCCCCCCCCCCAACCCTTCCTGCCCCCTCGCTGCCTTGCTGTTAGTGCCCAACCCCCTCCCCCCCCCTCCAGCTTAAGGGCTCAAGTGCATGCCCGAGCCCTCCCGCCCTCCCGACTGCCCCCGCGCTCCTTGGCCCCTTGCCTCCACGCGGTTTAGGGTTCAGGGTTCAGGGTTCAGGGTTCAGGGTTCAGGGTTTAGGGTTTAGGGTTTAGGGTTTAGGGTTTAGGGTTTAGGGTTTAGGGTTTAGGGTTTAGGTGATGAAGAGTCGCTCCCAGGTCAACCCCGAATTCACAATTGGCCCGAGGACACGGGGCTCAGAGATCGAGCTCGCATTCTTGACAAGCACAGCAGTCAGGGTGCAGAGCATCACAGTCAAAACGACATGAGAACATTTGACGATATCTCTCGTGATCGCAGCCCGAAAAGTGACATAAAATTCGAGCGATGGCATTCCCTTCAGTTGCTGGTTCTGCTGGCTCACCTGCTGCTCGTCAGCAGGTTATGAGCCCAAGCGGCCCGAGGCTCTCTGGTGAAGATTATGGTCCTGACTATGGCAGGCAAGATGGGCAACAGTTGGGTACAGCTGCAGCAACGTTGAATGGTCACAGATCAGCGCTTGAGGTTGGTGGACAATCAGTGCCTGAGAATTCTGGGCCTGGTCGTGCCCCATGTGTAACTTCAGTGGCTGATGGATGGTACAGACAGTGGTTCAGTGCCTGTGAATGCATATCCTGGTGGTGAAGTCATGGGATTGTCATCGCATGTGAGCAATGGAGCTGGGGAAGATAGACAAATCAGTGCAATGGGCTTGGCGCCTAGAACTGATACAGTGGGTGCGGCAGACATGGAAGTGCCTCGGACATCGGCGTCTGGGCATGTGGATGGAGCATGCCTGCAACCTTCACCCCTTCCATCTCCAGTATCAGCAACGAATGCCCTTCAAAGGACCGCGGAAGCTGCTCGTGTGAGTCGAGCTGCAATGTGGTTTTCAAGATTGGGCGAATTTTTCCAGCAGCGACGTGTGGAGGTGCATACGGCTTGGAGCCCGATGCAAGAGAACCCTTGGCTGAGGCCTCGTACCACTGGGTACAACAACAGCAGTGGCCACGCTGAGGGACAAGCAATTTTCCAGCCCCCGACCCCACCATCGTCAGGGTCGGCAGGGGTTCCTCAAGAGTTGGTTCAGGCTGAAGTGGCAAAACCGCTGGATGGTGCAATGAGCGAGCTTTACAGTGGCATGATGGGGAAAATTCAAGACGAGCGACGAAGAACTGAAGAGGCGATGGACGAGGCAAGACAGTTGAGACATCAGCTGGAAAGGATGGAAGAGCGGATGGCGGCGAGGTCTATGGCGACGATGGCGAAAGCTCAACAAGGAGTTCCACAGAACCATCCTACACCTGGTCCACCGCCAGGGATTACGTCCAATGCAGGTGGTATGCTGCAACAATTTCAGGATTACACTGCGGGTGATCGACAGTCGCTTTCTGCAGCACCACTTCTTTTACCTGGTGTGTCTTCAGTAAGACCTAATGTGGCGGAAGCTCAACCAGGAGTTTCGCAGAACCATCCTACACCTGGTCCTGGTCCTAATTTTTCTGTACAGTCAAACCCATCTGTGCCACCGAGTCGCTCCTTTTTGCAGGGATTATTTGGTCTTGGCGCTCCTCGTTCTCCATCCCCTGAACCTGCTAATCAGCAGCAGTCGCAACAGAAGGATTCTGCCCAACAACCAGGACGGGTACCGGGATCCTCCAATGATCAGGTGCTGACAGCAATGGCTCGTGGCATTGAGTCGCCACTTCAGAACCAGCACAACAAGAGTGAGAGGCCAGAGACAGTTAAGCCGGGGATTTCTGAGCTACCACAACTTCCGGCTTACACCCCGACTACTGGAAGCATAGATCTTCTGAACTGGCTTACACACATCACCCCGATCATGGAGGACCTTAGCGACACCTCTAGCCATTGGTGGACGATGACTCTGAAGGACGTTTCTGAGTGGTATGCACGTTTCTCTGTTTCCACTCCTTTGGAGAAGGTCCGTTTGAGGCCTGTGGTGTCAACAATGGGAAAACCTGAATGGAGCAGGGTGAAGCGAAGGGCAACTGCGATGGTTCTGGGCGCTATTCCAGCCCAGGTGAAGGAGGAGGCCATTGCAACGGGTGATGTGCATACCGTGGGCCTCTTGTGCAAGTTGTTTGCCACCTATCAGCCGGGCAACCGGCAGGAGAAAACCTTAGTGTTGACGAGCCTGGAACATCCTCAGGAGTGTGAGACGGCATTGGAGGCGGTGGATGCCCTGAGGAAATGGTCTCTCTGGCGAAGACGGGCCCAGGCGATTGGAATTGCGGAGCCGGATCCTTCGGTCTTGTTGCAGGGCTTGGATAGGATCACAGCTGTGGTGGTAAAGTCAGATCCGGAGCTGTCTTTCAGAGTGAGTTTGGTGAGGAGCAACCTGCAGGTGGATGTGTGTCCTACTCCCAGCAGTATAACATCGTTCTCCCAACACTTGCAAGCGGAAATGGAGCAGCAGGCAAGACTGGGTGTGAGCAGGAACAATGATACGGCGCCGAGGTTGAAGGCTTTGGTGGCACCCTCGGAGGCAGCGTCATCGACTACCCCATATAATCCTGCGACTCCTACCTCTCCTACTCCAAAGGGTGTTTGCAAGTTCTTTGCTGGTGACAAGGGATGCCAGAGAGGGAATACGTGTCGCTATCCCCATACATGGACGAGCCTGGAGAAGGGCGAAAGAGCTCGTCGATGCCTGGCCTGTGGATCAACCACCCACAAAGTTCGAGAGTGTCGGGCACCTGGCGGAGGTTCTGCAAAAGGAAAGGGAAAAGGGGAAAAGGGCGAGGTAACATCTGCTACGGCTCCTACCACCTCTACGTCAGCGGCTACTCCCAGAAAGGTCTCAATTGAGGAGAAACCAGAGGTGTTCGTGAAGGTCATGAAGTTGTGGGATGAGATCAAGAACATGGGGGTGATAAAGCCCACCTTGAGGACCCTGTTTGGAGGTGATGGCCAGTGGATTTCCCCAACGCAGTCACCGAGGGCAGCGCTAATGGACTCTGGAGCCACACATGCTTTACGACCCCCTCTGGACCAAATGGAATGGGAGCAAGCTTCACAGGTGAATGTGGCCAGCCAGGCGATGCCCGCACAGTCATGAAGCAGAATCGTCAAGGCACCCTCCTTAGTGGTGATGAGGTCACCCAGATGATCGTTCCAATGGGAAAGGTGATCTCGAGACTTGGCTACCGACTTCATTGGACACCATCATGCTGTGAACTGTTGGATGATGATGGGGGAAGTATACCACTCAAAGTTGTGGATGGATGCCCGGAGGTTGATCCAGCGACCGCCCACATCCTGATCTCCAAGCTCGAGGCTTCGCAACTTCCATCACTGAAGGAGGCCACGATGGAGTCACTGAATGTCCTCAACCAGGTGACGACAAGTTGGCGGGCATGTCTTTGTGAGTATGTTAGCACTGGGGAAATCATGGCGGGGCGTGAGGCTCTTTCAAAGGCTCCATTCTTCCGAGATGCCGAGGAACTGCAGGTGGAGCTCTTGATTCGACACCCAAGGGAAAGTGCCTGGGATTGCATGAAGGAGATCGCTTTGAATCGTCGTACCCGGAAGAGGCTACTCCGTGCTGCGACATGGGTGGTTCGGTGGGATCCACCGGGATATTATCGTCCGAGCGATGCTCTGATTCAGCTGGGGCGTTTGACTGATGTGGTCTATGTGAACGTGGGTTCCATGATGAACATGGGGGGATTTTACCAAGGTGTGGAAAGTCTTGGTTTGGGCAGCAATCAATGGTCGCATTGGGGCGCTCCTTTCGCATGATGTTGCCGCTACCCCCGCTGAGTTTGCTGTGTATGAGAAGCATCGCAACCGCTTTCAGTTCCTGCATGCTTTGGCGGCTGCTGGTCAAGCGCAACGGGGTGGTTGCATACCCAAGTTTCTGGTGGAACGGAGGAAATTCAGGACGGCCGATGATCCTGGAATTGCCTGGGCGGATGATGGGCATGCACAGCTGTACTTGGATGAAATGGGAATCCACAACCCCACGGTCGCGGAGGATGAAATCATGGAAGTGGTGAGTGGTCTGTTTGGTGTGTTTCGCACCGATGGAAGTGGTCGTATCAAGCTATCCCGGATGTCGGCCGATGCTGCTTGGCGACTTCATGTCATGAGGAACCACCAGCCGTTCAGGAGGGACTGTGCCATTTGCGTGAGAAATGCAGCTACGGGAAGGAGGCATAGAAGTACACTCCACCCGTCAGGGTATGTCCTGAGTGTGGATGTTGCTGGACCTCTTCGTGGACATGGGCGATCTCCTGACGGAAAGTTCTTCAAGTACTTTGTGTGCTTTCAGGATTCCTAAGGCGGATGGAGTAGAAGTTCACCGTGAAGTCCGAGGCCACCCCATACCTGATGATTGGAATGAAGAGGAACCCGAAGAAACGCTATCGGATGACGAGGTCGAGGTTCCAGAGGAAGAGGAGGAGGTGGAGTTGCCTCCAGTGGGGGAGGAAAGACGAGCCAAAGAAGAATGGGAAAAGCTTAAAGCCACCTTCAAGGAGCCCCTGGAGACCGAGACCCTGTACTACTGCGTGCCAGTACGAAACAAGAAGGCTGCCACTATGTTGCCTGCAATTCAGCAGATGGTGGTGGATATCAAGGCGTTGGGATACCCGGTAGTGAGAGTTCATGCAGATCGAGGAGGAGAATTTCGTGGCAACTTGGTGAGGAAGTGGATCCTGTCACAAGGAATGTTGCCAACTACCTCCACGGGTTCGGAACCGGCCGAGAATGGAGTGGCTGAAGCAGGAGTTCGTTTCCTGAAAAGGCGAGCGAGAATATTGCTTGATGCTGCAGGGCTTCCACGCGAACATTGGCCTACAGCAATCCAAACGGCGGCTGCTCAACAGCGGTGTGAGAGGCTGGGTTTGGTGCCCCCCATGCCGGTGGCGTATGGAGCGAAGGTGTATGTGAAGATCAAGAAGTACAAAACGGGCGACATCGAGGACTTGGGTCCGCATTGGCTTCAAGGAAAGTATCTGGGGCCAGCCACTGATATCAGGGGTGGTCATGTGATCTTGAAGTCGACGGGCACCTTCATTCAAACCACTCATGTGAGGGTGGCCAGGGATCCGCCTCCTTTGGATACAGTGGCACCGACTATCTTGGTGGAGCCG